AACATCTGCTCTTCCAGATTGTTTTTTGAAAACTATTCAAAATTCAAAAGATGTCTGTGTGTCATAAATATACCTTTAGCATTCAACATTCATAAGCTTGGTTTCAGGTCAGAAATATTTGTATTAGTCCCTTTATGCTCACCAAGGCTGCATTTATTCAGAATACAGTTATTTAAATTAATTTTCCAGCATCACATGATCCTTCAGAAACCATTCTAATATGTTGCTTTGCTGCTCAAGAAACACTTCTTGTTATTATAAATGATTAAAAGAGTTGTGCTGCTTAATATTTTTGTGGAAACCGTGATATATTTTTTTATGATTCTTTGATTAATAGAAAGTTAAAAAGAACAGTATTTATTAAAAATATATATATTTTTGAAAATACATCAAAAATGTATTTACTGTCACTCTTGATCAATTTAATGTATCCTTGCAAATTAAGTATTAATTTCTTACAAATAAATAAATAAATACCTTATTGACATTTGATCGGCATATCATCAAAATGTCCATAAAACGAAACCTCTGCTGATCACTTAAACCAACACCATTTTTTCGAGCGGAAACTAGTGGTTCGACTGACTCACTTTGTACTTTAAATGGATCATGAGTGGGATGACTTTTTGCCCAAACAGCAGCACTCATTTAGTTTGTCCCTCAAACATAAGAGCATCTGTGCTTTCACTCCCATACTGGCAAGTGGGAGACAGTTGCACGTGTCACTAGCCATGGATAGTTGCTAGGCTACTGTGCTGGCAGAGGCCTGAGGTCGGGGGGCCGTCACTCTAAAAACGTTTACTATGATGTACTCTTTTTTTTTTTTGGTCTTTTTTTTTTGTAGTGAAACTTTTTTTTACACTTCAAAATATTGATTAAATGTAAACACAATGAAATGAATTACATATACCATAAACAGACAAATTAAGTATATCTGAGTAACTAGTATTTGGAACATTAACAAATATAATTGAGTAGAAATAATTGAGGATTGAAATAATTCAACTTTTAATTTCCTGTAAACCTGTAAACCTTTCTAAAATACTGTAAACCTTTCTAAAATACTCCACACAACCAGGTAAACATACATGACACCGGCCTTTATTGTCGATGAGTACAGCAATACACCACAGCATATTTTATACTGTTTTAACATGTATTCACAATTGCCTACATTTAAACTTGTATAAGTGTTTTATAAAATCAGAATAAATGTCTCATTTTAGTGATTCCCTAGTTTTTTGTTTTGTTTTACTTATTTATTTTATTGTTCTAATCAGGTCAGGAGAAATGTAATTGTGTGTGAATGAGTGTGTGAATGAGGCTTATAACGGAGCAGGCTCCCCCACCAACTCCTTTTCACCACCGGAGGGAGCCGTCTCTGAAATGTTAACTTTACCCTTCGAACTCCAATTCCCATCATGCCTCATACCTGGGACTGATTGCACTCACACCTGCATCTCATTCATACACACTCATATAAGCCTCATTCACACACTCATTCAGTGTGAAGTCTTGATCTGCCCTGGCCATTGTTTCTGAGTGGTAGTCCCCTGGTTTGATCTTGGATTGTTTATCGTTGCTGACCCTTCTCTGCATGCCCTGACCACTGACTGTTTACTGGACTCTGGCCTCGACCCTTTGCCTATTTACCTGGTTTGTCCCAACCTTACCTTCTCTGTTATGTTTGCCACTGTTGGACCCTGCCTGTTATTATTTGGTAACACTTCACAATACGGGTGCAATAATATGCATTAATTCATGTTTAACAAAGTCAAAGCTAATTGTGGTATCATTATGTTATGACTTTACTTGTTGAGGCACATCATTATTAACTAAGCATTTAGTCATTGTAGTAATTTGCACATGAATTTGCACTAACAATTAAGTAATTAATCATGTATTAATGCATATTAGTGTACTTGTCATATTATCTGGAAGTTGAAATACAAGGCTTTGGCTCAATCTGGTAATTAACATATTAATTAATTAAACACTAAAAATTAGTTATTATGAAATTAATCCACAATTGCATATTTAATTAATAACAATTAATGTATGAACTACATTAACCTTACAGGCTCTTAATTAGTTCCTAATGTGGTAATCATTAATGAATACCTTAGATAATCATTAGTTACACATTAATTCAGTATTATCTGTGCGTTAGTTAAGCATGAATTAATGCTTATTAGTGCACCCTTAGAGTTAAAAATACTTTTAACTCTAGTTAAACAAACAACATTTTATTAGCGTCATTTACATGCTTTTATAAATACTTAAGTTTCATAAAGAAAGGAAACATTTTAAACAAAAGTTGTTGTTTTTTGTCAAAGACTACGCTTTGAACAGATTCAGAGCGATGATCAAAACACAGATCGAGTCCAACACCTCCAAAGCATTCACAGTCGTTTTCTCTTAATGGATAACGCTTCATTTCATTTGGAAACGTTAAGCAGTTTTGATTTACACGCTGTTTAATGTTTGATCATGTTATTTTACATTTGCACGAGCAATCTTCCACTTGTTTCAGCTTCTTCTTCTCCTGTGTTTTTAATCCAGAGATTCTGCACTAGAAGATGTCATAGCCCCCCCTTACCATATAACAGTGAACACATTGATAGCTGGAAAATTCAGTCAATAATGGGAAAAGACTAAAGTAGAATTAAAGTAAATTCCTGTAGACAGTGGACTAGCCTATACACAAAAAAATCAGATACGCAGAATTAAAAACACATCTGTTTTGTATTAATATTCTAATCAATATTTTCAAACAACATAAGTTTCATAAGATTGTATATGAAAAACTATGTAAAAAAAGTATATTTAATAGGCTATCGATCAAAAGAGTTAACAAAAGTAAAGCCAAGTACAATTTAAGTGTAATTTTAAGTATATTTGAGAAGTATATAAAATGTACATATGAAATGTAAACAGTCCCGAAATCTAAGCTGTTGTCCTGAATCCGGCCCTAATTGTCCGGAAAATTATACTAAAGCAAAATCTTGTTGTTATTGTTTGATAAAATGTTAAAAACTGGTCGTGGAGGTTGAGACGGCCCCTGCTGGCAGCTCATTGGCTGGAACATCTTTTGTGTTTCGTTTTTTTGAAGTTCTACAAAGATTTGGCGGGAATTTAGATATACATTTGATAAGCAAACTTTCACTCGTTCATTTTGTTGACATGGCTGGTGTACCGGAACCACAACACTTCGTTTTTTAGTGGCAGATTAATGACAGACTGTTGATCTTTGAAAAAAAAAAAAAATGTTTTGTTCAGGTTTGAAATTCATTATACATCCAGGCCTACCCATAAACACCCCCTAGATCTCGTATTTAAAGGCACACTATGCAAGATTTGTACCTTAACATAACAGCTTCATACTTCATAATACAGAAATCATAATACATAAATGATAAACAATGGCGGGTTAGTGAATGACATGAGAAGTAAAAGATCACAGGATCAATAATATCCCGCCGTATAGCCTGAATCTATTTCCGTCGAGCTTCATCAACAGGCAACTGAGGAAAGGAATGAAAACGACAGATATGGTTGCTTTAGGGAATAACAAATAAAGACCGGTACGCAACAACTCTTACTAGCTGCTTGCGCTATTTGTACTGACCGGAGCGGAGGAAGATTGCCACGACAATTGCGTATTTCCGGTCACAAATACGGAAGTTGTAAGAAAGGTCTATAGCACATTTGAATAAACTTTTTCGTAAGGGTACTGATTTCATTTGACTCACTGAATTATTCATCTGCCAGTGTGTGCACATTAATCTGTAGCCTGATTTTATGCTAACGGAAAAAGCCCAGCATAACTCAAAGGAATTTACAATGATGCCACATTATATAGAAAAACACAAGGCTTTTGACTGATTATGTGACCCATGGGACTGGGATTGTTGAGCTAAAATCTTATTTATCCAGAAATGACAGGTATACTGGTAGGCTATGGTGACACGTATGTCTTTTATGAAGGCCAGTGAAAGGTGCTTATTAACACACCTTATTAAGATAATTAACTCTGAAGTAGCTAACTCTTGATTACAATGAAGAACATACAGAACATGTTGCTTAATTTTTGTATTTACCTGCTGTGTACCTTTTTTGTTTAGAGCTGTCGAGGAGTAGAGGCGTCTCAGCTACTTTATTAGACCAGGGGAGGGAGGAGTATATTAGACTGTCTCTCACATACTTTTACTCCAGGAGGCCATCTTGTGATATAACTCAACCTGAAGCCTACTCTTGTTGGTCTGTAGTGTGCATCTCAATAAAGTAGGACACAACATACATACATTGAGCGTGTAACAAGATTAAAAGCACTGGAACAAGGGACTAAGATCCCTTCCTTATTCAGTCTGCCAGGGCAGCGCTAACACGTTTCAACACATTCTCATCCTTTAGCGTCATATAGAACGCTATATGACAAAATGGCGCTATACTACGTACATGGCACCCGTTATCGTTAATATAACACGCGCTGTGATGGTTAGGTTTAGGTGTGGGGTAGTCTCATATTACGCGAAAGGATTTATGACGCTTTGGGTTCGCTTGAATATTAACGATAAAGGGTGCCATGTGCGTAGTAGCGCCGTTTTGTCATATAGCGTTCTATGTGACGCTAAAGGATGAGAACGGGCATGGGCTAAATGCTCTGTCACACTATTACTGTTCAAAACTTACTGTTCGAAACTTAAATTACTGAGCAAAATTACAAACTTTCTAATGCCCCCCTTCCCCCCATAGTTACAATGAATTTTAGCCTGTTCCACACAAAAAGCTCTCATATGCTTCAAATTTAGATCAAATGTGGTACCGGTATGTTCTGTCCTTGTATGAAGCAGCCATTTATTGCTTGGATATTAAAGAGTAACATAGTGTTTTGAATGTAATCTTGTGAGTTCCACATAAAAAGAAAGTCTCTGAGGTTTGGTACCACATGAAGGTGCGTAAATGATGACAGAATTTTCTTTTTTCAATTCTGTTTCCAGCAAAGCCAAAGTGCCAAGTCATATCTGGAGATGTAACAAAGGGAATTCCATGGATATTGAACAGAGCTTCAGACATCAGGCAAGAACAGAAAAAAAAAGATGTACAGTTGACATTTACTCACCTTGCACAGGTTGCAGTACCAAATATAATGCCCAGGGGGAGCTGTCATTCAAAGGACAAAGTGATTAAATCATTCTAGGCAATGCTATGCTGCAACATGAGTTTGTGACATGCCTTATTTCATAGCTAGATCAGAGCAAAACACTATGGATAAACAAGTGTGACTGCAATATTTGCAGAGTAGGACATCAACATCCTCATCAACATCCTTGTTGATCTTCGAACAACATTCCTAACAAATCGTGTTTTAGTAATAATAAATCAGGAAAGGTATCTGAGTTAAAGCTTCCCTGACATGGGGTTATTTTATTATTTTTATTGGGTTGCCCTTATAATGTTAGTATGTTTTTTTAGATCAAAAATAGTCAATTTAAAAATAAAATTTTAGCCTCTGATTTGAAAGCTCTGTTTGAAGGGGCGTGCCCACCAGAAGACCTTAATGACGTTCTTATCCCTCTCCCCACTTAAAACAAGGAAGTGCTAATTACTAGGGATATTAACAGCAAGTCCTATGAGCTGAACAAACGAATGTGTTGGTGCCGATAATTTTCACATGAAATAATATATAGATCTGACAGAAATCATGCATGTACTTTATAATGGTCCAGTGGCAGAACTTTTGCCAAGCGTGTCAGATAACAGTCTCATCCCAAAAAGTCATATAACTGACGTCTTGGGGCGTATTTTGACCATACGTCAACATCCGCCTTTTTAGGGCCCCCTTAAACGTCAGTAGATGGCGATCCCAGGCCGTCATACAACTGACGCTTTACCTTTAACGTCAGTTGACGGGTTAGGTTTAGGGTTAGGTTTAGGTATGGGGTAGAGTTAGGATCCCATAACCTCATCTACCGACGTTTAAGGGGGCCCTAAAAAGGCGAATATTGACGTATGGTCAAAAGACGTCCCAAAACGTCAGTTATATGACGTCTTGGGATGAGACCGGGTTGTGTCAGAGGTTCTGGGTTCTTATCTGCATTCGTATAGTTTTTTTTTTTTTTTTCTCTCTTATTAAAACCAATTATGTTCATAAGTGGTTGTATATCAAGCAGGGGCACTTTGTTTGCATTTACTTTGTAATTTCACCGGAACGAATAGAGTCTCTCCGCAACAGATTAAAGTGCACGTCCATATGAAGACTGTGCTCGAGCCACAAGAGAACACTGTATCCGCGGCACTGTTTGCAGTGAATGAGCACTTTGATTACTTGATTTAAAAAACACAATTCAACATGTTAGATCACCTCTTATTTAACAAATTAATGAAATGAATGCTCTTCTAGTTAACTAGAGATGTTTTGTTTATTTGAATTAGTTACATCCATGCCGTGAGATGTTTCAAAAGTGGTGGGGACAATATCAACCCTGGCAAAAAGTGATGGGGAGATGTTTCACCCACAAATTACACCTAAGATGTACATACAATAAGAGCTTTGTTGTGTAACGTGCGTCATTGATTTCATAACAAGTTCTCCAGATAAACTTGCGCTGTGTATAATTTGTTCAGAATTTAAATAAGACTATTTTCATCCTGCTAAAAGAAATGATGTGAAGTTGATATTTTCGTCACTGGCTTGACTTACTGATGCAAAAAGATTTTGTGTGAAAGGTTACCTGTCTGAACTTGAACAATTAGGCTACACATCAGAAATTGTTGGTTGGTTGCTCGAACGATTTATTTTTTTAGACGTTCATCGAGGCCAGCTCTGTATTGGCCCAAGTTGAGGAAACAGTTGTCTGTGAAATGTTTGGACCATACAAAACTTTGGGAAGTTGTGTCAGCGTATTTCCAGAGAAAATAAAATGAACCCATTGTTTCTTCAGAGGCTCGGATGAAGGAACTAAAAAATACTTTAGTGTTCATTTGTACATCCGAACACTGATTTGCTTGTTTGCAAGCCATGATATCTCTCTAGGAAAAACTCAAATAGCCCTCGCACGTTCGTACATCCTAGCTCACTTTCTCATGGGAAAAGAAAGAGGAGGTTACCTTTCCTCCGTACGACATCATACAGAGGAGATTCAAGATCAGCTCGTCTGAGCTTTCATTTTCAGAGGAAAGATAGCAGAGAAAGATAGCCAAAGCTCGGTTTTCACCGATTTAAATTTCTAGCCACTAGGGGACCACATACAGGCTAGGGAAACTCATATTAATGTAAAAAAAAAAAAAAAAAACTCTGAAAGTGAAAATTTCATGTCAGGGGACCTTTAAGGGGTTTAGCAACATAATCTCTGATTTTATAAGCAGTTCGTGGTAAAGTTTGGAATCTTTGATAGGAATGTTCTTCCATTAAGAACAACAAAAAAAAAAAAGATAACCCAACAAACTTTTACCTTCCATTTTTCGCTCACTGTCACCTATTTGCACAAGTGACTTGTGCATACAGCAACATGAATTCCCTGAGAAAATGTCATTATGCAATAGAGCGGCAAAAACAGATTGACTGAAAAACACTGTTTATTGCGATTGTCCTTCCTTATACTCACCCCATGGCCATTTAGAAAAACTCATCCTGCTACTGAGTTGCAGCAGGCACGTAAGCCCCTCCACCTGAGAAAGATTCTCTGCAATTGCCATGGAAACTGTCTGAAAAGAAACCAGCAGTATTAATACCTGTTGCCATTTTCTCTGCCTCCTACATCTACATCCACATAATGGTAGAAACGGCAACAACAACAACAACAAACTCGCATTGGCAAAGGCTCCAGGCAGCTGGCATGCCAAACTAAGGTTACACATATTAGGATATGCATATCTGAGGGGGTGAGCCTTGCTTTAACACGATAAGCAAATGATTAGATAAGCTTCGATGCTGGTGGTACCGATCATGCTGGTAAAAAAAACACTCTTATAAGAGTACTAGGTTTTATTGCTTGAAATTGGGAGCAGGCAACATTTTTCCCAAATGTTTTTGTCATTACACGAACACATAATATGCTTGTGGCATACAGCTACTTCCTGAGAAAATATAGTATAGTGTATCTCCCTAATAATGTGAAACATTCATCTAATCATTAAAGGCACAATATGTAGGGGTTTTTTTGCCACAAGAGGGCACAGTTTCCAATAATAATAATAATAATAATAATACGGTTTATTTATATAGCGCCTTTCCAGAGCTCAAGAACGCTTTACAGCAAACAAGCAACAATAAAGGCGACAAAGACAGCACCAGTATATAGACAAGTGTTGTTGTTTTGTTTTTGTTTTAAATAAATAAATAAATAAAAAAGTAGTACAATTTAAGAATTATGACATTCAGAAAACAAGTGAGTTTTTAGCATGGATTAGAATTTAGAAATAGTGTTAACAGAGCAGAGTGATCGGGGAAGAGAGTTCCAGTACATATATACATACATATGCTATTTATTGTTCAATTTGGAGATATTTCTTTTAGTTATTTATTATTTATATATTTATTTTTCTAATACAGAAGAGACATTATTTCTATCTTTATGTCATGAATTATTTTTTAAACATGTCAAAATAAAACATGTTGAGTAACCTCTGAAAAGCCTATCTGAATTTGTGTCTTGCAATATAACAATTTTCTATCCATACAGAGAAGGCATAGCCTACTTTAAATGTATTGAAATTAATAAGCCATCTTTGAGTAAACTTCGAGTATCATCTGAGTATCTGTTTGCCGGCCGAGTGTTCTTGTTTTTGGTAATCAAAATATGGTCATCCTACACTAAATGGCATTTAAATATGTGTTGAAAGTTATAATGTTATACTACGTGTTAGTTAGTTTGCTATACAAAACTAGCAGTAAGCTAGATCAACATTAGAATAACATACTGATCATATTCTAACGTTTCATCACGTTAATAACATTGATTTGTTTTATGTACATTTGCTTACCTGTCAAAAAAAGCTGTCAAGTCATGACTCGTTGTATCATTTGTGCTTTACTTTCGTTCGGGGGAACGAAAAACATTTGCGAGAGAACACAAATGCATTGATTTATTATTTTTCCACTCATCTTATATTTGTTTTCACCACCATGTCCCTTTAAGGGGACATAATTTGCTCACAAAACATTTGCGTTCCCCTGATAAACTTGGCTTCCATTCGAGAAAATGTTGTTCTCCCCGGAGAAACTTCGCGTTCACTCACGAAAAACACACGAAAGGAAACGCGAAAGCATTGACATATTTTTTTTTCCCTCCCATCTCATATTTTTTTCCTTCACCATGTCCCTTTAAGGGCTTTGTACTTTGTACCCAGTCAAGGTGACATTTACATCAATTGATTTTAAGCAACTCAATATGTATGTGGACAGTTCCCCATCCAAAACTTATCTACACTCTAAGAAATAAATTGCAAAAAATATACAGCAGCTTGTCACTGGGGCAGTTCTCTCATAGGGACATCGTTGTATACGTTGTATACAGATACTATCTTAACCTTTTATAAAGCCTATGATACCATATTATATATGCAAGTTTATAAGGTCACTAAATTATCATCTGCTGAATAGAAAGCTGTTGCACACATTCTTCACAGCCTTCTGTTTTCTGATTGATAGTTCATACTTTCATAATTTCGAAGACTGTGGTATACAAACACGTCTGTTTACAGTATTTTATTACATTTTATATCAGCCATTTGACCATGCTTCAATATTTGACGCTTTAGGCGCCCTTTAGCGTCAGTTAGATGACGCCCTAGGATCGCGTGTACCTACCACGACCCCAGACCTAAACCTAACCGCGTCCTCTAACTGACGCTTTCCTTTAGGTCAAAGGTGACGCCTTGGGGTGAGAATGCGTTGTTTATATTAGTAATATTCAACGCATTCTCACCCCAAGGCGTCACCTTTGACCATGCTTCAATATTTGACGTTTTAGGCGCCCTTTAGCGTCAGATCCTACGGCGTCATCTAACTGACGCTAAAGGAAAGCGTCAGGTAGATGACGCAGTTAGGTTTAGGTCTGGGGTGGAGGTAGGGTTACACGCCATCCTAGGGCGTCATCTAACTGACGCTAAAGGGCGCCTAAAGCGTCAGATATTGAAGCATGGTCAAAATACTTCCCAAGGCATCAGTTAGGTGATGCCTTGGGAGAATTTACTGTCCGGAAACATCTTAGGTTTACTTAAATACCAATACTTATTTTTTTTTTATGAGAAGTCATGATAAAATTTATCAAATATGATATAATTGCTTTAGAGGAGCATTTATTTATACATCTATCATTCATCATTGAATTGCATTGCATTTTGTTTTGCCCCTCTCAATTAAACACAAGAGAGCTTTGATCATTAAGCATTTAAAAATCATCTTAATAAGACTTATTATTAAGATATGTAGATTGCA